TCCCCCTTGGTGTGTGCCGGTGTTTACCATGTTCCATCGGGTTTGGGTTTTCGTCGCTTGGCAACGACGTTGTAAAACAAGCCAATTCGCTTCGTGAACTCGGCAGCCAGGTTGTCTTTTTTTTTTTCCTCTGTTTTGTTTTTTGGCGGTAATCAATATGGTGGTCGAGTAGATCATGTTGTACGGGATGGAGAACCCTCATTCCGCTCAAGGGGGATGATCACACCACGCTGTGATAATTTGGCCAGGCACCCTTGAAGCAGTTGCACAGTGCATACAACTGTCTCTGGGAGTGAAAGCACCAGAAAATAAATTAAGTCATACGCAGCTGTCGTCCGTATGCAAGGAAGTAAGAACAATATGCCAAACACCCTTAGCAGGATGCAGCGCACCCTTCATGCGACTCGCCGAATACCTCACGGAGCTTCGCGCTTGGTGATGTGAGAGGCTGGTCCGGTGAGAACCCGGCGTGCTCGGTCCCGGCTTTGTCGGGATGCGAGGTCAATGGTCTAAGGCCGACTCGGGAAAGGATTCCGATTTCGGAATCCGGGGGAATTGTCAAGGGACCCCAGGGAGTTTTTGTCTGCGAACCCCCAGAAATTCCAGAAAAGTCTAAATTATGGGGACGTTGGAATCCCAAGAAATTCCATTTTGGGGAATTCCAGCCCGGTCGAGGTGGAATCCAGTGCGGATTCCAACTCGGGCGACGACAAATTATAAAGCAGAAACCCCGGGGGGTTCGTGAAAACATGGGCGTATCGTGCTTTTTTTTCTCGATTAGCGCGCCACACGCGCACACAGCAGTGCTAGCTGTGGTGCGGCTCGCAGAGCTGAGGGCGGTGTTGACTGTGCTGTCGTTGGCGCTTGTCGCGCTGCATCATCATCAGCAGCTTCTGGTCGCGTCGCTGCTACCATTGCGCCGAGATAAAGAGGAAGATGACGATGAACCGCGACCCAAGCGCCGACGCACGGTTCGGCCGAGAGCGGACTATCGCAAGTTGCCTTGGGGAAAGATGCTTGAGAATGCTGACCTCCTTGAGGACCCGTCGACGAGAGAGGCAAGCCAGTTTCGGCGAAGGTTCCGCGCACCCTACCCTTTCTTTCTTACCCTTGTAGACGAAGTGGAGGCGGGGAACTGGGCTGGTTTCACGACCGACGAGTTTGAGCTTAGCGGGAGAGGCTCCAGGCGCTGCATCCCCGTCGAAATGAAGGTGAGCAAACACGCGCGTGCATCCTAACGTGGGGTGCTAAGCAAGGAAGCATATATCTATATAGAGCGCGATACATGATGACAGCATTGGATTAGGGCTCTGCAATATTTTAAATACGTAGATGAACAGACGAAGGAACCTTCCCCAAGCAGGTAGGTAGATGGTATCTTGCTGTTGCACGTCGCATCGCATGACGCGTACTCGGCACAGTCCGGGCACGTACAGAGCGCACCTGCTTCCTGGAGGCAGGGTGCCGGCTGTGACTGGGGCTCGTCTCATCACACTCTCCCACACTTACAATCACGAGGAACAGTAGTTCCATCGCTGTCCTCTGCGGCATGTATGTAGACAATGATGTTGCAGGAGAATTTTTGCTGTTGCCACCCGGATATTGTGAACGCCATCACGGCGGTGGTACTACCNCAGGGTGCCGGCTGTGACTGGGGCTCGTCTCATCACACTCTCCCACACTTACAATCACGAGGAACAGTAGTTCCATCGCTGTCCTCTGCGGCATGTATGTAGACAATGATGTTGCAGGAGAATTTTTGCTGTTGCCACCCGGATATTGTGAACGCCATCACGGCGGTGGTACTACCCTACGGCTCATGTAGAGCAGACTCTCCCCATCTCTTCGGAAACACAAACTATGCATGTATTCTTCTTTCAGTCTCGGGCGTTCTCTCTGTGACTGATACTCGTAGCTCACTTGCAGTGTTGCTCCTGGACGAACTCTTTTACTTCGCAAGTTGGATACGCATAAGTCACACATCCTGCACTGATGACCTGTGTTCACGCTGCTGATCACAACGTCTAGTTCTGCACAACACGAATCGTCTCCCCTAACCGCTATTTTTTTATGGTTTCCTGACAGGTTTTGGCGGCGCTTCGCATACTGGGAAGAGGAAACTATTTTGACGATGTCTTGCAGGTCACGGGCATTTTCAAGGCCACGGTGAACCGCCTGTTCCACCAGTTCACGGAAAGATTCGCGCGTGAGTTCTTTCCGGTATGGGTGAGCGCGTTAGTTCTTTCCGGTATGGGTGAGCATGCCGAATGAAGACGAGCTCAAGGAGATCATGAAAGCATATGACGAGGTCGGAATGTCGGGTGCCATGGGGTCGATGGATGGGACGCACATTGAGTGGACGGTGTGTCCTTATTCCAAACGCGCGTCGTTCACGGGCAAGGAAGGCTACCCTACCATAGTGTACAACATCGCCGTCAGCCACGACATGCGTGTTTTGTCGTTTATGCGGGGTTTTCCTGGGGCCCAGAACGACAAGTCCATCATCAAGTTCGATAAGTTTGCGATGGCAGTTCGAGATGACTGGTACAAAGACGTGGAGTACACTCTGAAGGGTGAGGACGGAGGGGATGTCAAGGAGAAACGGCCATGGTTGATAGTGGACGGCGGATATCACAACGTGAGCCGGCCCGTGCTTTGCACAACGGACAGCAAGCAGTAGTGCCGACTTCCTTTCTCTTCATCCTGTGCGCGCGGATGGGTCGGTGTTCAACTTAAATTACCAGGAATAGACGTACGTGTAGGAACACGAGGCAAAACATCAGCGTGTCAACGTGCCTTCCGTAAAAGGATGGTATGCCCGTGTCATCTAATTTGATTTTTTTTTCTCCAAGTGCTGTGTCACGGAACGCTGTTGCTGTTGTTGTTGTCTTCACATCAAAAATCGCCCCGGTCTCTCTATCCAGTACCCCCTTCTGTCCCAATCGCTCCGTGCCGATCTAACACTATCACTTCACGCGGTCAATTCCCGTGTCACAGGCTAACTTGTTACCCAACAGGAGGTGTACAAAAAGTAAAAAGGAGACCAGAACGGAACGTTGCTGTTGTTTTTTTTCGGGGGTGCGTTTCATACGTATAATGTCGGAACTTAGGGTTAGAAAGATCTGCACGTCCGAGAGCGAACGCTTGTGCGTGTTCCTTCCACTCCCTTCGCTTGCGGCGGAGTCTGAGAGCTGTCGAGAAGCACCGTCCGTAGCGGCGTCAACGGCCCCCGCCGCCACCGCCACAGCCGTAGCAGTAGCGTCGCCGTGTCGGAGCACCGCGTCATCAGCTTCGGCTTCTGGCCGTGGGGAGGAGAGGTAGACCGGGACTAGAGGTGACGGCGGTGTTGGACCGTTGGGCAGCACGTCGGGGGACTGCGGCGGCTGGGTGGGCCGCGGGGAACGACCGACTCTTCTGGAATTGGAGCCTACGGTGGGAGATGGACAGGAGAGGTTGGGGGGGGGGGTACTCGTGTCAACGCATGCCGTAGCCAGTAGAACATAGACCTCGCATTCCTACAATGCCGGGACGGAGCGATATGCCGGGTTGTCGCCGGCCCGGGCTACGGGCTACGCTCTACAAGAATGAACCAAAAGCTGCTCATCATCTTTGCGTGGGGAGTGAATAATTTTCCTGCCGCATCGACCGACTTGCTGCTGAGTGTAAACATGATAGGCATCATGAACCCTTCGGCTGACAGTACAACCCGGATAGGGTAGGGTAGCGGCAGCTGCGAACAAAAAGCACCACTTGGATTTGGAAAATTTTGCGGTATCATCACCTAAGGAATTCCCAGCGCGACGGGCGTAGCGCGAAAACTTCCCCACACCGCCAGAAGACGAGGACGGCGTTGGCGACGCTTCCACAGGCGCACTACCCGCAGCCGGGGAAGTAGTGGCAGCAGCAGCGGCGGCGGTGGCGGCGGCGGCTTGTGTGCCCAACTTCCGGCTGAACCCCGACCCCGTAACCACCCGCGGTGAAGCCTTGCCGCTTCCGAACATGCCCATGCCTAGCCTAAACCTCGACGAGAGGTCCATCATGGATGGTGAAGCCGCCGCCGCTGCCGTCGTCTTTGTCTTGGCTACCGCGCCCGTACCGCCACTGCCCTCGAGCCGACCGGGTGCTCCGTCCGCCCCTTGTCCGTCGACCTCTACTCGCAACTCCTCCGTGTCTGACTCTGGCGCCACTTCCGTTGTGGTAACGGAGGGCGGTAGGCTAGACATCGGCGCTGTTGAAGTAGGGCTTGGGGACACCTTATTCTGGCCCACCGATGACGACCTTCCGAAGATCCCCATGCCCTTCTTCAGCTTTAGCATCTCGAGCATGGACGGGGTCTTGTCCAGGGTGGTCGTGTTCGCAACCTCTTTCTTCTGCTGCGCCGTAGCGGCAGCACCAACGACGGCGGCCTCCCTTGCCTCGGTCGCGTCGTCGAGCACTGCATCTTCGACAACACCGGAGTCGGTCTCCCTCTCCGCTGTCGAGCTGACGCCACCATCAGCACTCAGCTTCCCCAAGTCCTCTTTTTCTATCGCCCCTTCCTCAGATGGCGCCTTGTTGTCCCCCATGTTGCCCTGCGCTCCATCGTCCACAGTCTGCACCTCCCCGTCCAACACTCCTGAAACATCTCCTACGCCTGACAACCGAGCAGGAGCACGCTCTTCTCCAACAGAAGCAGCAGTAGCAGCCCCAGCGTCTACATGCGAGGCCGTCTCCGTACGGCTAGATGAGGTACCCGTGATGCCTTTGATCCGAGCCTTGCTTTCTTCCTCCACGAGAGGTGCTTGCGTATCTGGCGCAGCCGTGGTTGTTGCTGTCGCCGCTGCCGCTGTTGTTGTCGGACACGGGGGAGGCGAATTCGACCTACCGCGGTTGGTTCTGTGTGCAGCAACATCGGCAGCAGGCTCGCCTCCTACCCACTGCGACACGGGTCTACCTCGGCAAACAACAGGTGGGGAGGAAACGGACGAGGGGGGGGGGTTGAGGGGGCGTAGGGGCGGGACTTGCAGCCCACACTGAAAGAAGCGGACAAGGGCGGGGGTCCTGTACATGGACTAAACAACGTGCGGCCTGATGATCACACAGATAGCACCACCGTGTGCCATTCATTCTCTACGCACAGTTTGGCATACTCTCCCCCAGGGCGTGATGCCTGCATATCGTAGATGCATTTCATCATCGACGCCTGTTGGTGTCTCGTCCTTCGACATGGGCGCCTACGCCGGTACAATGTTCGACTTCCTCTCCTCCACACACTTTCGAACGCTGCCGGAACAAACAGTAGCAAACCCATCGGCATCTGAAGAACACGCGTAAGGTCCACGGCTAGATGCGGGGGAAGCTGATCATGTGAACACATCGACTCATTTCACAAAACTGTCGCATACCGGAACACCGAGAGGCATGCGCCGTAGAGGATGCCAGTGCCGCTACGCCCGGGGGCGGCGAACGTGAACAGTCGAGGCAGAGGAGGCGGCACGCCCGGTCCAAAGCAGTCCCCCCGACTGCTTCCGCTTTCACGGCCACCTTTCCCCACCCCCGATGATGATTTCCCACCGCTTGGAGGGGGACACGCACGAGGGGCCTCTCCGCTGGCCGGAAGACCGGGGCAATAAAACGCCTCCAGGCCTTACGGCAGTACGTCCAGACCGAGGTTGCGGGGGGCGACGCACACCGCGTGTTCCGTCTGGATGGGGGCGGGGGGAATCAACCGGTGCACGCGCCGGACACGAACCGCACAGAGAGTGGACGATATGTGTTACGTGCCCGTGGGGTGTGCAAACAGCAGTTGTGGCTTCTTCCACCCAAGACAGCTTCCGTCCGCAACATGGCAATGGTTCAAGTGCTACATCGAAAATAACTCCCTACAGTAGTTTCCACCGCGGAAAGCTCACCATGTCGAACGGGGTATCATTCGGCAGGCTCTGAATAACGACGATGGCACGCAATCAAAGACAAAACTACTAACGCATGCGCAGCTGAACGTGAGCTGCACACTTCTAGGAAAGGCGGCAGCGACACTGTCCCCGAGAGCAGAGCACGCCTGTTACGACAAGATAACCTCGCCCCGTGCAACCTTACCACCTACACACCTCCCCTGGCCTTGTGCCCCCCCCACACTTGTACCGTCATGATTCCTTGCCGCAGGGACCCCGAGAAGGAAACTGTCCATTCTGCGCAGCCCTTGATTCCTTCCCCGACAACCCCACCACCACCGTCTTCTCTCGCCCCTGTGGGTCCTGGCTCTATCCCCTGGGTTTCTTGTACACCAAATCCCGAGCGACTTCCCAGAACATTAGGGGGAGATGCTACATCCGAGTCGCCGGCTACGCCGCCGCCGCCTCCTTGCGTGCTGCCGCCCACGCCTGCGGAAGAATCTGCTTCTTCGGTGGGCTCTCCTGGGACGAGAGAGCCTGACGAGTGGCTGGGCCGACGGCCTAACCTTTGCGCCGTGCGAGTGAGAGACAGGTGCTGGCGCAGGTCGAGAGGGGCTGGTTGGCATGAAAAGGGAGACTGGGTGGGCAGAAAAGACGGAAACGGAAGAAAGGAAGGAAGGAAGGGTCAAGGTTGGACGATGAAGGGCTGTCGTTACCTCATGGTTGATCTCTCGGGTATTTCCGTCGGTAGGAGTAATTCCTGGAAAACACGGGATGTAAGTATCCAGAACCTTCCACCCGTGCAGCGAACGTGGCAACATGCTTGAGAACACAGAACAGTCACCTGGACGTTTCGTCCCTGGCGCTATGCATACATCCAGACCAGACCGATATCAACCGTGAGAGGAATCTGCTGTAACACTCTACCCGAATCGATGCGCTAGAGAGCAGCCGAAGCAGCTCTACCGCTCTTCTAACAAAACCGCTCTGGCCATAAACACGCCCAATCCAAATCAATATCATCGTACGTATGCATACAACCACGAGCATGCATCTGCCAAAAAGACCACATGCCACAAACATCACCTGTGCCGCTCGAAGACGTTCCCGACCCGACCGCACCCTTGCCCCCCTTCGACCCTGCTGACAGGCCTTGTCCCACGGAGGCCTGTGCCTCGACACGTGCGGAGGTAGCTCGACCCTCCTCATGACCTTCTCCAGCACCCATCCCCGGCTAGCCTTCCAAAGGGGTTCAAACCCCGGCAAATCACTTTCGCCCCAGCCTGCAGACCTTAAATCGGAAAATATTCGCCCTACAGGAAGTTTCCAGGAAACTTTCTTAACTCAAAATCTGTTTCCATATTTATTTCAGTAAATTTGGAGCCCCAGTCCGAAACTCTCAATTTGCCGATAAAAAATCGTGGAACGCCGAAAAAAAAAAAGTCGCCGGCGGGGGAAGGGCCTAAAAATTACGCGGTAAAATGCTGCACCACACGCCACCCTCTACTCCGCCCGCGGCACGGGAGTCTGCGGATCCGGGTCAAGGACGGGCGCGCGTCTGCAACGATGTGAGTGTGTCGTGTGGGAGCCCGATTATTTCTTATCTCGAAGCAGCAGCAGCGCGGGTGCTATTCCTCAAGCCTGTGGCACCTGCTGTTTTTTTGACGGCGCGTGCATAGCACAGCACCAGCTCTCCTTGCGTCAAACTCTTGCGTCAAACTCTTGCGTCACACACGCGCGCCACAGCGACGCGCGGTTTTCTTGTGCACACTCTACCGATGCTAAGCTGGGGTGCTGCCTTGCTAATCTTGCGCCGTGCTCGAACGATGTCGATCCTTGGGGGTGATGCAGATGTGCATCGGGGAAAAATCAGCAATAACACTTCGATCCCAATAACAACCAAAGCCCTTCAATAATTCTATTTACGTCACCGGTGGCGTTATTTCTTATATACGTCACCGCCCGTATCTCAACCCACAGAGCTTCAGTTGGCACAAAATAAATTGCGTTGTGTAGCTATGACCCACACCAATCATACAATCCTTTCGACGGTCAAATCCAATACTTCCTCTGTATCATAAGTTAGGGTACCTAAATGCAATAGATTGTCTGGGTGCAACCGTGTTAGTGATGGTAGCATAGTCGGGTTTGTAAGAAAGATATAACAAAGAAGAAGCGATGGAAAAAAAATTAAAAAAAAACGAACATCTATTTCTGTATCTACTATTGGCCAAAATGTACCCTATTTTGGCCTGTTTTGGGAATATTTTTGAGAAAATATTTTGGGATATTTTTTGAGAATTCTCGACAAAATTCTCAAATCCATTTTACTACCCTACTCTAGCGATGGAATCGCCCCCCAGCACACCACCTCGCAAAAGGGGCACCGAATTATCGGTTGGTAGGCGCTATGCCATGGCGGTAGAAATTGCGATGGGCATTCAGCCGGGGTTGTCAAGGATTCCCAAGGGCGTGCTTGACCCGATCTGCGAACGCTACGGTGTTGGAAAGAAGTACCCGTCCAAGTTGTGGAAACGGGTCAAAACC